ATTAAGTTAAGAGAATGCGGGGTTGTGAAATAGATCGCCCTGCTCCGAGATTATGTACAAGTGTTTTCCTTGATGGATATATCCATGTGTGACCTACCCCCCCCCCTTCATTCAGTTACACTAATATCATCTATACAGTCCACAATTAATTAGTAGCACCGTACTTGTGGGTGCTATCCAATCCATACTGGTCTCCGATAGATATGGATAAGATTGTGAGGTCGAAGGGACCACCTGCCATGACCAGGGGTGGTTAAGTTTTCTCACATGTCTACATGGGGTGACTACGGTAAACAATATGGTTGTCTCCCAATGAGATGACTTGTATGTATATAAGATAAGATAAGATAAGATTTCGTTCGGATTTTTAACCCCGGAGGGTTAGCCACCCAGGATAACCCAAGAAAGTCAGTGCGTCATCGAGGACTGTCTAACTTATTTCCATTGGGGTCCTTAATCTTGTCCCCCAGGATGCGACCCACACCAGTCGACTAACAACCCAGGTACCTATTTGCTGCTAGGTGAACAGGACAACAGGTGTAAGGAAACGTGTCGAAATGTTTCCACCCGCCGGGAATCGAACCCGGGCCCTCCGTGTGTGAAGCGAGAGCTTTAGCCACCAGGCCACCGGGCCTGTACATAAAGGTAATCAACCTATAAAATTTTCCACAGTTATTATCACTGATTACATTACCATTCACAAGACGATTTAACGTCTCATAATTATTATACACATTAGAGGTCACTCCATTAAGATCTGAGACCGATGAGTGAGGATTAACTCACGGGTAATTTCCCCTGGACACATTCCATGGCAGCGCACCCGTCACTCACGGTCCTACTATTATCCACTTATTTTACCACTTTATCACGGTGGTCACGTAAATCTCGTTCCCTCACTCTTCACCAGGAACAATTACGACACTTCCTATTAGGAAGTGAGGCCTATATTAATCCTTAGGCCGCCGTGAACGCCAATTTCCTGATCCCATGTTTCACAGCTTTCTCACTACATTCAAAACACTCCCGCCCCCACGTGCCCCAGTTCCACCTCGATCGCCGCACATCTGCCCAGGCGCAGTGGGAACCCAGTTGGTTTCATTCAAAATACAAATACATTTTGACCCAAATCAACACATTAAACACTTATTAGGCACTATAGCTTTGGAAATTAAATAATTTCCACAATGACACTCTTCAGGTCACTTGTTCTATCTAGGCTGGAATATTGCTGCACACTAACGGCACCTTTCAAGGCAGGTGAAATTGCTGACCAAGAAAATGTACAGAGAACCTTCACGGCGAGCATAACGGAGATAAAACACCTCAATTACTGGGAGCGCTTGAGGTTCCTAAAACTGTATTCCCTGGAACGCAGGCGGGAGAGATACATGATTATATACACCTGGAAAATCCTAGAGGGACTAGTACCGAACTTGCACACGAAAATCACTCACTACGAAAGCAAAAGACTTGGCAGACGATGCAACATCCCCCCAATGAAAAGCAGGGTGTCACTAGCACGTTAAGAGACCATACAATAAGTGTCAGGGGCCCGAGACTGTTTAACTGCCTCCCAACATACATAAGGGGGATTACCAACAGACCCCTGGCAGTCTTCAAGCTGGCACTGGACAAGCGCCTAAAGTCGGTTCCTGACCAGCCGGGCTGTGGCTCGTACGTTGGTTTGCATGCAGCCAGCAGCAACAGCCTGGTTGATCAGGCTCTGATCCACCAGGAGGCCTGGTCACAGACCGGGCCGCGGGGGCGTTGACCCCCGGAACTCTCTCCAGGTAAACTCCAGGTATATTACGTCTGCATTCTTTTTGTCTTCTAGTGCATCTAGGACCTTGTCGTAGTGATCCAGTAGAGACAGACAGGAGCGACCTGCTCTAAACCCATGTTGCCCTGGGTTGTGTAATTGATGGGTATCTAGATGGGTGGCGATCTTGCTTCTTAGGCCCTGGGGCAGAGTGCATGGGCATGTCATTTATCGCCTGTTCGAAGTCATTTGGCGTGAGGATAACATCAGATAGGCTTGTGTTTACCAAATTTTGTGGCTCTCATAAAAAATTCATTTTGATCTTCGATTTTCAGTCTGGTTACCGGCTTGCTAAAAACTGAGTCATAATGGAACTTGAGTAGCTCACTCATTTCCTGCTGTCATCTGTGTAGGACCCATCTTGTTTAAGTAGGGGCCCAATACTGGATGTTGTTCTCGACTTTGATTTGGCATAAGAAAAGAAATACTTTGGGTATTTCTTTCGATTTCATTTATGGCTTTTAGTTCTTCCCGTGGGTTGCATCCTGGGACAACATTGACCTAATTTGCCCGAAATGCTCTGCATAACAAACGGCTGTATGTAGTAATATGGCAGTGATGTCAGCTAGGCCTATATACCTAGTACATGTACTTGTAAATAAAGATATTATTATTATTATTATTTATTTGGGTCCTATGCAAACCAGGATGAATGATCAGGCTTCTCGGAGGCTTGTTACTTCATTTGGGTTCTTGGTACACAGGTAGTGTGTTTAAGCTGGCCAGGCCCAGGAGAGAGTGAAGTCAACTGCCAGAGTGAGAGAGGGTAAGCGTGGTATAGGCTGAGGTAGGTAGGCCTATAGGTGGCAGCACCAGCGTGGCATGGAATATGAACCCAGCTGGGCATACATGATCAACCAGGCTGTTACTGCTGGCCGCACGTAGTCCAACGTACGAACCACAGCCCAGCTGATCCGGCACCAACTTTAAAGTATCTGTCTAGCTCTCTCTTGAAGGCAGCCAGGGGTCTACTAGTGATTCCCCTTATGCATGGTGGGAGGCTGTTGAACAGTCTTGGGCCCTGGGCACTGCCTGTCGACTAACACCCAGGTACCTATTGTACTGATAAGTGATCGTGGACTGCAAGTATCTTAACAAAACACGACCTAATGTTTTCACCGTTACCGGGGATCGACCCCCGCTGACCTCAGTGTGTGAACTGAGTGTGCTGGTAATTCAGCTACGGGAGTAGAACTCATTTCCATGTTCATCTATCAGTAAAATGGGTACCTGGGTGTTAGTCGACTGGTGTGGGTCGAATTCTGGGGACAAAACTGACCTAATTTGCCCGAAATTCTTTGCATAACAAGGGACTTTCTGTATAGTATTTTTTTTTATTATTATTCTCATGTACTCTCCCGGTCCGGGTCTTATACTTGTAGAAATAAAGATTATTATTATTATTATTATTATTATTATTATTATTATTATTATTATTATTATTATTATTATTATTATTATTATTATTATTATTATTATTATTTATAGTTTCTATTTTTCAAAGGGACTCCTGTTGGCTTTTCTTTCGTTGGCGAACTTTGGTTAATATCTTTTCTCTGTACATGGAGAGGCTAGCTGTCAGTGACTATAAACCCAACAAGAAGTTTAACTTGTGACTAAAACATCAATAATATAAGTAGTAAGTTTACTTAGGTACAAGTACACATAAATGTACGATTATCATACATAGTTTGACATGTGTGAATTACCTAGAATAGCCCCCCCCCCAAAAAAAAAAAAAAAAAATTATGTAGTTCATGACCCACAACTATATGCATTTATTTATAAAATTCAAGAATGTTGTCAAATAAAGGACATAAATTGCTTACATTTCTATCTTATATGTGGGTTTTTGATCCAGGGAATGGGATTTAACCTCCCCCCTTCCTTGCATTGAACTTGAATGCCTCCCATTCCCCCACTCATGTGACCCCTACAGGTTAGGTACTTCCACTTGAATAAAATTAAATGAAAAAGTCTAATACAGCAAAAGATATCCAGAGCAATATGTCACAGACCGGGCCGCGGGGGCGTTGACCCCCGGAACTCTCTCCAGGTAAACTCCAGGTAAACAGTGGCCTGGTGGCTAAAGCTCCCGCTTCACACACAGAGGGCCCGAGTTCGATTCCCGGCGAGTGGAAACATTCCGACACGTTTCCTTACACCTGTTGTCCTGTTCACCTAGCAGCAAATAGGTACCTGGGTGTTAGTCGACTGGTGTGGGTGGCATCCTGGGGGACAAGATTGAGGACCCCAATGGAAATAAGTTAAGACAGTCCTCGATGGCGCACTGACTTTCATGGGTTATCCTGGGTGGCTAACCCTCCGGGGTTAAAAATCCGAGCACCTAAAGTCAGTTCCGGATCAGCCGGGCTGTGGCTCGTACGTTGGTTTGCGTGCAGCCAGCAGCAACAGCCTGGTTGATCAGGCTCTGATCCACCAGGAGGCCTGGTCACAGACCGGGCCGCGGGGGCGTTGACCCCCGGAACTCTCTCCAGGTAAACTCCAGGTAATTGCATCATAATTCTGAAGCTAGTCATAAGTTTGACTAAGTCACTCCAGTATAGAAACTGAATCATACCAAATCGAGACCATTTCCATTAATAGATAAACTAATTGTTAAATTCTTAAATATTTTGAACTGCCTCAATTTTGTAAATCTAGTTAATCACTACAATTATCTAACCTTAATACCAGTATGATCCATATCCTGTGTCAATATAGAGTAAGAACTAGTATTAGTCTGCCCGAAATGCCTAGGCATAACTAGGCATACTAGTGGCCTTTTTAATAAATATTTTATAATATTTAATAATATCTTATAATATGTAAACCCCACATTGTAATATTAACAGAGAAATAAAGAACTTTAATTTATAATTTTAATTTAATTTAATTTTTAATATGCTCAACATATTTTATCAACTGCTCACAGCTAAATATCAGAACGTTTTAAGGATTATACTCTGATTCAAACATAAATTAAGAAATGTTTAGCATTAAAGATTTAAAGCATAATACGTATATGTATTGCAATCTGAACATATATTCGGAAATTAAGCATTCTTATTATTTTTCATCAGCATTGTATGACCCTTGTGGGTTTAGCACTTAGTTTTGATTGTAATAATTATTATTTCTTCACATGATACTATCTCTAATGAGCTGTGTTCCACAGCTCTACAATGTGGGGGCCAAGCTGGAGGTGTTGGTGTGTGCTGGCTCGCTGGCCTCGCCCAAACTACTTCTTCTGTCAGGCCTCGGACCTCCTGACCACCTCAAAGAACATGAGGTAAGTCTTGCCTACTCTCTCATCCTGTCATTCATGTTAATATTACTGACCACCTCAAAGAACATGAGGTAAGGTCACTCACATTAATATTATTGACCACCTACTACTGTGCAACTTACATTTACAGAACCATAAATTCTGATATTAACCCTGAACTAAAACACTTTCTTGATAGTTGCAACAGGATACATATAGACACAAAAATCTCTAACATTCCCCATGTCCTGCTAAACCTCTACAAAAACTTGATGTACATAAAAGGGCCTAAAATTTGGAACTCCCTGCCTAAAAACTCAAATACTGCACACTCAACCTCCATTTTCAAAAGTACCGTCAAAAAAAGTCTTATCTCCCCATTACACCCCACCATCAGCTTGATCGCTAGCGCACTCAGCTCAGACACTGAGGTCCAGGGTTCAAATTTCCTTTGGTATGGCTGGAAAGCATTAGGGATGTTTCCATAAGACACCTGCTGTTTCTGTTCCTGTTCACCCATCAGTTTAAAATGGGTTACCTGGGTGTTAGTAGACTGGTGTGAGTCGCATCCTGGGACAAAACTGACCTAATTGCCCGAAATGCTCAACATAACAAGCAGCTTTCTATATACTAGTAGTACATGTACTGTGTCATTGATGTCAGCTAGGCCTGTATACCATGTACATGTACTTGTAGTAAATAAGATATTATAACCAAATGAAAACCACCTAATTCTCTTTTTTGTATCATGAACACATTCAAAACAATATACAGTGGACCCCCGCATAACGATGGCATCACATAGCGATTATTTCGCATACCGCTTACTTTAATCGCAAAATTTTTGCCGCGCATACCGATTAAAAACCCGCTCACCGATTTTCGTCCGAGACGCGTCCAATGTGCGCCCTCAGCCAGCCTCACATGTGCCGCCCGTGCCATTGTTTACCAGCCAGCCTCCGCGGTAACATCCAAGCATACACTCGGAATATTTCGTATTATTACAGTGTTTTCGGTGCTGTTTCTGGAAAATAAGTGACCATGGGCCCCAAGAAAGCTTCTAGTGCCAACCCTACACCAATAAGGGTGAGAATTACTATAGAAATGAAGAAAAGAGATCATTGATAAGAAATGAAAGTGGAGTGCGTATAGCCGACTAGTCACGCTGTACAAGAAACCCCAATCAACCATCGCTACTATTGTGGGCAACCAGAAAGACAATCAAGGAAGCTTTTTCTTGCCAAAGGTTTAACTGTTTTTCGAAACAAAGATCGCAAGTGATGGAAGATGTTAGAGACTCTTATTGGTGTGGATAAATGAAAAACAGATAGCAGGAGAAGCGTCTCTCAAGTGATCATATGTGAAAAGGCTGGGAAGTTGCATGAGGATTTAATTAAAAAAATGCCTGCAACTAGTGATGATGTAGTGAATTTAAGGCCAGCAAAGGTTGGTTTGAGAGATTTAAGAAGCGTAGTGGCCATCCATAGTGTGATAAGGCATGGTGGGGCTGCCAGTTCGGACCACAAAGCGGCTGAAAAATATGTGCAGGAATTCAAGGAGAAACATAGAACTGAAGGACTGAAACCTGAACAAGTGTTTAATTGTGATGAAACAGGCCCTGTTCTTGGAAGAAAATGCCAAGCAGACCTACATTACTCGGAGGAAAAGGCACTCCCCAGGACAAAGCCATAAAAGACAGGCTTACTCTTCTCATGTGTGCCAATGCTACGGGTGATTGCAAAGTGAAGCCTTTATTATGTATCACTCTGAAACTCCCAGAGCGTTCAGGCAAAAGAAGTCCTCAAGGATAATTTGTGTGGGGCTGTGGAGGGCAAACAGTAAGGCATGGGTCACTAGGAATTTTTCTATAACGGGGTTACACCATGCATTGCCCCCAATGTAAAGATTACCTAACTAAAAAGAAATTAGAACTAAGTCCCCCCTGGTTTTGACAAGCCCCTGGTCATCCTACAGACGTGGGCAGAGCGACTTTATGGGGACATGACTTCATTAAGGTGAAGTTTTTGCCTCCTAATACCACTCCTCTCCCTGCAGCCCATGGACCCGCAGGGTTTTTTCCAACTTCAAAAAACTGTACACAAAAGCTCTGTTTGAAAGGTGCTTTGTAGTGACCTCAGAAACTCAACTGACTCTAAGAGAGTTTTGGAGAGATCACTTTAATATCCTCAATTGTGTAAACCTTATAGGTAAGGCTTTGGGGGGAAGTGACTAAAAGGACCTTGAACTCTGCTTGGAAGAAACTGTGGCCAGAATGTGTAGACAAAAGGGGTTTTGAAGGGTTTTTAGGCTAACCTTGAGATGATTATGGGCCCTTGAGGAATCCATTTTGGCATTGGGAAAGTCCTTGGGTTGGAGGTTAGTGGGGAGGATGTGGAAAGATTGGTGGGGGAGGACAATGAAGAACTAACCACTGATGAGCTGATAGATCAACTTCAAGAGCAAGAGGCCAGACCTGGGGAAACTGGTTCAAGGGGGGGGAGAGAGAAATTGAAGAAGTTTTCCTACTACAAAGATTAAGGAAATCTGTGCAAAGTGGCTTGAAGTGCAAACCTTCATGGGTTTAAAATCACCCTCACACAGCTATTGCAAGCCGTGCTGGTGTTATTACACTGACAATGTTGTGAAACACTTTAGGCAAGTCATAAAGGGAAAGAGAGGTTTCAGGCCACTATGGACAGATATCTTGTGCGAAAGAAGTCCAGTGACTCTGAAGCTGGCCCTAGTGGCATTAAAAGAAGAAGGGGAAATAACCCCAGAAAAGGACTTGCTACCTCAAGTCCTAATGGAAGGGATTCCCCTTCTAAACAGTAAGAAAATAAAAGCTCTCCCCCTCCTCCCCTCCCATCAATCATCACCAGAACTTCAATAAAAATAAGTGTCATGTAAGTGTGCATGCCTTTTCAGTTGTGTGTTAAATTTAAAAAATTTAACATTTCAGTGGTAAAAAAAAAATTTTTCATACTTTGGGTGTCTTGACGGGATTAATTTTATTTCCATTATTTCTTATGGGGAAAATTCATTTCACATAACGATTATTTCGCATAACAATTACCCCCCTTGCACGGATTAAAATCGTTTAAAACCCGGGGGGGCCCTGTAGTCTTACTCTTGTTATCTGTAATTCCCCCCTAATTTACACTTACAACCCACCCTAATGAATGTAAACATAAAATTCCTAATATAGCTATTGCTTGTTAAATCTTAAGTTAGTAGTACTAAGTTTGTCTAAGATACTCTTCCAGTTTATGAGCTTCAATAGAAACAGTGTATCATTCCAAGACAAATCCAATCCCATTACTAAACTTACCATTTGTAATATTATTGTATGTTTTGTACTACCTCACTATTAAAATTTAAATTTATGTATGTACCTAATTTTTGTATGTATCTAATTATGAAATCTAATAATATTTATTAAAATGTACTGCTCCATAACCTATATCAATAAAAGATAAGAATTAGTATAGTCTGCCCAAAATGACTAGGCATGTTTACTGGCCTTCTTTGTAATTAATATTTTATAATATGTAAACCACACATTGTGAGTGTTACAAGGAAATAAACATTTTCATTTTCACCTCAAGGAAAATGGGGTTTAGTCTTACCCAGTCCCTCATCCCATGTCACTAATGTTAATATTACTTCACACCTTCAACAACTTAAAGCTAGTTATGCCCACACCCTCACCACTGCCACTGCTATTAATATGAGAGAAAAGCAGTGGCTTGTACTGAAATAGTAGATGGAATGTGTGTGTAACAGCATTTAAAAACCCTTGAAGACTTTCATGAGTTTTCTTACTCTTGCAGCCATCCCTGGGCCCCCCAGGATTTTATCTTACACAGTTTCTCAGAGAAGTATAATGCACTTCACAGATTTATAACAACAGTGAACTGAGTACTGAATACAGGAGGACCCTGCTTTATAGCACTTCGCTCTAAAACATTTTGCTAATAGAGTGGTTTTCAATTATACCCATTCTTCATTTATTCAGACTTCCTACAATAAATATATTCACTAAGTATAAGCTGAGTACAAAAATATTTTTATGTAAGTAATGTGTGTACTGTGTATGCATTTTTCAGGCCTAGCTCTATTGCTCACTTAATACATAAATAGTGTAAACGTATTATCAGGCTTCTTTTTATGCATTTTACAGTGATTTTTGTTTTACAGTAGTAGCCCAGAACCTAGCCTGCTGTATAAGCAGGGCCCTCTTGTATACCATTTTTAGTGAAATAACATTATATATAGTTTTATCCCTCTCTGGTTACTTAGTTTGCTAGTTTTAAGATCTGTAGACTGCATTAAGGTTCTTAGTACAACATTTTTGCCTATACTTTAACATCAAATGTTCACCTCTTAAGTGTATATCCCTTTCCACATGAAATAAATGTGGTGTTTTCATTATTATGTTTATAAGGAAGTGCTGGGGAGTGGGAGGTATAACCAGGTTTGATCCCAGGAAGGCTAGGGCAGCTCTAATTCCATGGATCAAGACCCACTCTTCATCATTAATCAACCCCCCTTTCCCCTTTGTTGAAGGGTGAAAATGAGTAATACATAGAAGAAATGACAGAGTAAAATATAAGTACTACCACAGGTGAAGGTGGTGGCTGAGCTGGCAGGTGTTGGCCAGAACTTGCAAGATCATCTAGGTGTCTATGGACTCTCCTGGACTCTCCCTGACACAGCTGCACTCCCCACTCTCTTCAACTCCAGTGCCATAAGCGAGTATGTTCCACACAAGAAAGGTTAGTTCTCCTTAACTTTATGACTTAGTAGATATTATAAGCATCATCGGGTCAGCATAGCACCATACAGTATATAAGGTATATAATGAGTCAGTATTAGATCATGTGTGTGTTTTGTAGTCAGCGTTATGTTAAAGAATGGCAAGATTGCTGACAATAGCTGCAAGAAGGTACTATTGGCAGAGTAGTGCATTATAAAAGGTAATGTTTTGCCCACAGGAATCTCCTGTGTGAGTGAAATGTTGACTTTAAATATGTTTACAAAGCCAACCTCATGTTATTGAAGTATCAGAAATTTTAAAGCTATCTGAGCATTCTAAAATGTGACTTTGTAAATGGTTCAAGTAGGACTGCAACATTGTCGTAAGCTCCTCTCTCCTACGTGTGGGTTATTTGTGTATTGTTCTAGTCATGGTATTGTGCCTTTTTGTTCTTCGCTATTACATGAGGTTTTTGTATGATTTGTTGGTACTGTATTTGTACTGCACCAAGTGTGAGAATAGAGAAATAAACGAGGGTGGCCTGGAAGGGGACAGGAGCTCTAGGGGGGAATCAGGTGTAGACAAGGACAAGGACATGCAAAAACCAATGTTAAAGACTAGCAATACCACAGGAGTTAGTAAACAAGGGGATGCCCCAAGAAATAGTGAAGATAAATTACCAGAAATAACTGATGAAGGCCCCATTGTTAGCATTAGTGCTGAAGTTAGAAATGAGACAGGACAGCATGCACCATTAGGGAATACAGTTGGGAATACAGTCACAAAAAAACCAAGGCAAACAGAAACCACCAGTCCGATGACATTCTTCTTTGCAAATATACAGGGTCTAAAGCCAGCAACAAACAACAAAATACCTTTCATCCATGGACTGCTTGCAGAGGCAAAGGCAATGTTCGCGGCTTTCACTGAGACCCACATAAAGGATCACTTGGACAACGAAATATAGATCCCAGGTTACGACCTATACAGATGTGACAGAGTGAACAGGCAAAAGGGGGGGGTTGGCCTGTACATTGCAGAGTCACTTGTTTGCACAGAACTGCTAAATGCCTCAAATGAAGTAGTGGAAGTTTTAGCAGTAAAGGTCGAGAACCAAAACCTAGTCATTGTGGTAGTCTACAAGCCTCTGGATGCAACATCCCAGCAATTCCAGGAACAGCTGTTAAAAATTGACCACTGTCTGGAAAATCTTCCAGCTCCTGCACCCAACATCTTGCTCCTGGGGGATTTCAACTTAAGGCACCTAAAATGGAGGAATATAGCAAATAATATTGTTGCAGTAATAACACCAGGAGGCAGCTCTGATGAAAACTCACACTCACACGAGCTTTTAAATCTCTGCACAAAATTCAATTTAAACCAGCAAATAATAGAGCCTACTAGACTGGAGAATACACTAGACCTCATCTTCACTAACAATGATGATCTGATAAGAAATGTCACCATATCAAAAACAATATACTCAGATCACAACATAATTGAGGTTCAGACATGTATGCGTGGAGCCCCAGACAGACATAATGAGACTAGTCACGAGGGAGCATTCACCAAATTCAACTTCAATAACAAAAACATAAAGTGGGACCAAGTAAACCAAGTCCTTACCGATATAAGCTGGGAAGATATACTAAGCAACACAGACCCCAACTTATGCCTAGAACAGATTAACTTGGTGGCACTCGATGTATGCACAAGACTTATTCCTCTAAGAAACAGGAGTAGATGTAAAATAGAAAGAGACAGGCGCTCCCTTTACAGGCGACGGAAAAGAATAACAGCGGCTAAAAGAGGTCAATATTTCTGAAATGCGTAGGGAGACACTGGTCAAAGAAATAGCAAGCATCGAACTCAAGCTAAAGGAATCTTATAGGAGTCAGGAATCGCGGGAAGAACTAAAAGCCATAAATGAAATCGAAAGAAACCCAAAGTATTTCTTCTCCTATGCCAAATCAAAGTCGAGAACAACATCCAGTATTGGGCCCCTACTTAAACAAGATGGGTCCTACACAGATGACAGCAAGGAAATGAGTGAGCTACTCAAGTCCCAATATGACTCAGTTTTTAGCAAGCCGCTAACCAGACTGAGAGTCGAAGATCAAAATGAATTTTTTATGAGAGAGCCACAAAATTTGGTTAACACAAGCCTATCCGATGTTATCCTGATGCCAAATGACTTCGAACAGGCGATAAATGACATGCCCATGCACTCTGCCCCAGGGCCAGACTCATGGAACTCCGTGTTCATCAAGAACTGCAAGAAGCCCCTATCACGAGCCTTTTCCATCCTATGGAGAGGGAGCATGGACACGCGGGTCGTCCCTCAGTTACTAAAAACAACAGACATAGCCCCAATCCACAAAGGGGGCAGTAAAGCAGTAGCAAAGAATTGCAGACCAATAGCACTGACGTTCCATATAAAAATCTTTGAAAGGGTTCCAAGAAGCAAGATCACCACCCATCTAGATACCCATCAGTTAAATAACCCAGGGCAGCATGGGTTTAGAGCAGGTCGCTCCTGTCTGTTCCAACTATTGGACCACTACAACAAGGTCCAGGATGCACTAGAAGACAAACAGAATGCAGATATAATATACACAGACTTTGCAAAAGCTTTTGACAAGTGTGACCATGGTGTAATAGTGCACAAAATGCATGATAAAGGAATGACAGGAAATGTCGGTAGATGGATCTATAATTTCCTCACAAACAGAACACCAAGAGTAGTAGTCAACAGAGTAAAGTCTGAGGCGGCTGCGGTGAGAAGCTCTGTTCCACAAGGCACAGTACTCGCCCCCATCTTGTTCCTCAACCTCATATCAAACATAGACAGGGATATAAGCCACAGCGCAGTGTCTTCCTTTGCTGATGACACCCGAGTGTATGGTAGAGTTATTATTGAAAGAATTAAGAGTAAGACGGAGAATAGGATAGCAGATGAACAAGGAGGCTTTAGGAAAGGTAGGGGGTGTGTGGACCAGGTGTTTACAGTGAAACATAAGTGAACAGTATTTAGATAAGGCTAAAGAGGTCTTTGTGGCATTTATGGATTTGGAAAAGGCGTATGACAGGGTGGATAGGGGGGCAATGTGGTAGATGTTGCAGGTGTATGGTATAGGAGGTAGGTTACTGAAAGCAGTGAAGAGTTTTTACGAGGATAGTGAGGCTCAAGTTAGAGTATGTTGGAAAGAGGGAAATTATTTCCCAGTAAAAGTAGGCCTTAGACAAGGATGTGTGATGTCACCGTGGTTGTTTAATATATTTATAGATGGGGTTGTAAGAGAAGTAAATGCGAGGGTCTTGGCAAGAGGCGTGAAGTTAAAAGATAAAGAATCACACATAAAGTGGGAGTTGTCACAGTTGCTCTTTGCTGATGACACTGTGCTCTTGGGAGATTCTGAAGAGAAGTTGCAGAGATTGGTGGATGAATTTGGTAGGGTATGCAAAAGAAGAAAATTAAAAGTGAATACAGGAAAGAGTAAGGTTATGAGGATAACAAAAAGATTAGGTTATGAAAGATTGGATATCAGATTGGAGGGAGAGAGTATGGAGGAGGTGAATGTATTCAGATATTTGGGAGTGGACGTGTCAGCGGATGGGTCTATGAAAGATGAGGTGAATCATAGAATTGATGAGGGGAAAAGAGTGAGTGGTGCACTTAGGAGTCTGTGGAGACAAAGAACTTTGTCCTTGGAGGCAAAGAGGGGAATGTATGAGAGTATAGTTTTACCAATGCTCTTATATGGGTGTGAAGCATGGGTGATGAATGTTGCAGCGAGGAGAAGGCTGGAGGCAGTGGAGATGTCATGTCTGAGGGCAATGTGTGGTGTGAATATAATGCAGAGAATTCGTAGTTTGAAAGTTAGGAGGAGGTGCGGGATTACCAAAACTGTTGTCCAGAGGGCTGAGGAAGGGTTGTTGAGGTGGTTCAGACATGTAGAGAGAATGGAGCGAAACAGAATGACTTCAAGAGTGTATCAGTCTGTAGTGGAAGGAAGGCGGGGTAGGGGTCGGCCTAGGAAAGGTTGGAGGGAGGGGGTAAAGGAGGTTTTGTGTGCGAGGGGCTTGGACTTCCAGCAGGCATGCGTCAGCGTGTTTGATAGTAGTGAATGGAGACAAGTGGTTTTTAAATACTTGACGTGCTGTTGGAGTGTGAGCAAAGTAATATTTATGAAGGGGTTCAGGGAAACCGGCAGGCCGGACTTGAGTCCTGGAGATGGGAAGTACAGTGCCTGCACTCTGAAGGAGGGGTGTTAATGTTGCAGTTTAAAAACTGTAGTGTAAAGCACCCTTCTGGTAAGACAGTGATGGAGTGAATGATGGTGAAAGTTTTTCTTTTTCGGGCCACCCTGCCTTGGTGGGAATCGGCCAGTGTGATAATAAAAAAAAATAAAAAAACCCGAATTTGCATGACAGTGTCCTCCATAGAAGACACTGCAAGACTCCAGGCAGACATCAACCAAATCTTTAAATGGGCTGCAGAAAACAATATGAAGTTCAATGATGAGAAATTCCAATTACTTCAATATGGAAAATGTGAGGAAATTAAAATATCATCAGAGTATAAAACAAATTCCAGCCACATAATAGAGCGAAAAACTAATGTCAAAGACCTGGGGTGATAATGTCAGAGGATCTCACCTTCAGGGACCATAACATTGTATCAATCGCATCTGCTAGAAAAATGACAGGATGGATAATGAGAACCTTCAGAACCAGGGATGCCAAGCCCATGATGATACTCTTTAGGATGCTTGTTCTATCTAGGCTGGAATATTGCTGCACACTAACAGCACTTTTCAAGGCAGGAGAAGTTGCTGACCTAGAAAATATATAGAGAACCTTCACGGCACGCATAACTACGATAAACCACCTCAGTTACTTGGAATGCTTGAAGTTCCTAAATCTGTATTCCCTAGAATGCAGGAGGAAGAGATACATGATTATATACACCTGGAAAATCCTAGAGGGACTAGTACCAAACTTGCACACAAAAACCACTCCCTACGAAAGCAAAAGACTCAGCAGACGGTGCAACATACCCCCAATGAAAAGCAGGGGTGCCATTAGCACGATAAGAGACAACACAGTAAGTGTCAGGGGCCTAAGGCTGTTCAGCTGCCTCCCAGCATACATCAAGGGGATTGCCAATAGGCCCCTGGCTATCTTCAAGCAGGCACCTAAAGTTAGTACCTGACCAGCCAGGTTGTGGCTCGTACATTGGATTATGTGTGGCCAGCAGTAACAGCCTGGTTGATCAGGCCCTGATCCACCATGAGGCCTGGTCACAGATTGGGCCGCGGGGGCGTTGACCCCCGGGACTTTCTCCAGGTAGTATACTCTGGGTATGGCAAGTAGAGTAAGTGTGAAGCTTATAGCAGATATGCTGAGTTCATGTTATAGCTGTGATATAAAGTTCTCCATCTCTGTTCTCACCTTGGTATTATTATTATTATTATTATGATTATTATTATTATCATTATTACTATTACTATTATTACTAGAGGTCCGCTATCACAAATCCGGCAATCAGACATCTGTTTTAATCAGTTATTCGGCACTAATTTCAGCTAGCATAATTTCAAATTTCCAGGGTTGCCACACCAAACTGCTGCTACTGTTTGGTAGTACTAATTAATAAGTCATTCCTATTTCTTTTTCTCCATTTATTGTTATAATCTACTTGCTTTTAACCCTAGCCATGGTTAAAACAAATAAAAGAAATGCTTCTCGTTGTGTAAAGCACATACACAATACATTGTCCATGAAAGATAAGGTGGCTTTGAAGCCACTGTCGGTTGCCATGAGCTCAGTCTCGTGATGCAGGGTTATATCACAGTTGATCTAATATGACATAATAAATACTATAAATAACATAAAAACATGTTAAATAATCCAGAATGAATAATATTTGGCATAATACTGAGTGGTTCGACGGAGGTATGAAGAGGATATGGGATACAAATACAGTGGAACCTCAGCTTGCGAGTGCCCCACCATGTGAGTTTTTCAGGATACAAGCAGTCGCTCGGTCGATTTTTTGTTTCTGGATATGAGCAAAAATTCTGGATGTGAGCTTTGCCCTCAAACAACTTTTTTTTTTAGACCTCCAGATCTTACAAAAGTAAAAGTGAATATATAATTGTAGGTCATTGTTGTGATGTAATATGTTGTTTTTACTGCTTAAGACTATAACTGCAACAAAAATAATAGTATTTGTTACCTTAAATTGTGGGTGCTGGTGTTTGTGAATGATTGTGAAGAGAGTGAAGGGTTATGCTGTGGCCCTACTGGGCTGAGACAAATAATAGAGGTTCTGGTACTGAAGTCGATGGTTGTACTGGAGTGTGCATAAATTCTGTAATGGATTTCTGTTCTATTTTACCCTACAGTACATTATACAAGTGATGGTAAGGCGTCAGCTACTCTAGACACCATTTCAAGAGTCCTCTTCAGTGAAAAAGTCTAACTTTAAGTCATTTAGCAAGTCAGTCAGTTAAGTCATTCAGTCAGTCAAGTCAGTTAAGTCAGTAAGCCAGTCAGTCAAGTCAGTAAGTCAGATATGGTAGTTAAAAGATCAAAACAATTCACAAACACAGCTAGCTTGTAGGAGAGAAGTGGAACTGAAAACATATTCACAGAAGCTGGGATGGTGGTGTCAGGAGTATCGGGGGATGGCAGGGGATGGCGGGAGGTGTTCCCCGCTGACCCACAACAAGGCGGCCACTTGAGGTAAGGAATGGCCGCCACCACTTGTCACATAATGACATAGTATTTTATTCATTCTAGAGTATATATCAGGTTTCTATGTGATTTATATTGTTTATTATGTCATATTAGATGAATTGTGATAGATAAATAAGCCAGCGTCATATTCAAGTATTTTGTCCTGCCTCCTGAGAGCAGGAATTCTGCTGGAATGGATTAATGTCATTTCAGTTAATTTAAATGAGGAAAACTGACTCAGCATACGAGCAGATCGGGATGCGAGCTAGGTCACGGAAGCGGATTAAACTCGTAAGCTGAAGTTCCACTGTATCATTCTCCTATCCCTGTCTTGGGGGCTTATATTAGAGAAAATGGAGTATAGCACAGGGCTAACTGTGATATTCACTCATAGTGCACCATAAAACAAACAAAAAAGCTATTTTCACTATGTAGATTATCATACATAGCAGCATATGTGTAGAGAACCTAGGATAACCCATAAAAGTCAGACAAAGTGACTTATTTCTAGTACCTGGCTTGGGCTTGCCATGTATGATTTTCGGTAAATATATTTTTTGGATGAGGTAGTAGGTTGGTAGACAGCAACCACCCAGGGAGGTACTACCGTCCTGCCAGGTGAGTGTAAAACGGAAACCTGTAATTGTTTTACATGATGGTAGGATTGCTGGTGTCTTTTTTCTGTCTCATAAACATGCAATATTTCAGGTAGATCTTGCTACTTTTGCTTACAATTAGGTCACACTACACATACATGTACAAGCATATATATACACACCCCTCTGGATTTTCTTCTATTTTCTTTCTAGTTCTTGTTCTTGTTCTTGTTTATTTCCTCTTATCTCCATGGGGAAGTGGAACAGAATTCTTCCTCCATAAGCCATGCGTGTTGTAAGAGGCAACTAAAATGCCAGGAGCAAGGGCCTAGTAACCCCTTCTGTACAAATTACTATATTTAAAAAGAGAAACTTTTGTTTTTCTTTTTGGGCCACCCTGCCTCGGTGGGATATGGCCAGCTTGTTGAAAGAAGATTTTTTTCTCTCAGTTGTTTGTTGAGCTATCTTATTGAAACTTGGGCAGTGTATGATGGAAAGAAGCTTCCTAATATACACTAAAAATGAAAGAAATTGGACCATAAATAACAGAGTTCACTTCTCAGCCATTAGCCACCCCTTAACTGTATATTTTTGCATGGTTTTTATGGTTGTATTCTCATTTTTTTTGGTCTCATTTGATAGAATGGAAAATATATTACAGAAATAGATATGATTTTGAATAGTTTCATGACGAAAAGTACCTTGAAATTGAGCTCAAAGTAGCAGAAATGTTCGATTTTTTCTGATGTTCAATGAACCTTCTTGTGTAAGTTAAGTTGGTTAACTTTATTAAGTGTATTCTAACCTAACCACTCTGTGATTCGGCAAACTCAATAATCTAGCACACTATAGGTCCCATTGATGCCGGATTTGTGATGGTGGACCTGTACTAAACCTGTGTGGGAGTCAAATAGTACCTGGGGGATGGGAAGCAATCAGATTTGATCCAAGGAAAGGGAAGAGTACATCAAGAATACCTTCCTCAGGGTTATACTCTGCACCGGTGGGGGACTTTGGCAGTGCCTGGACCAAGGTGGCTGAAGGAGGTGACAAAGACTACCCTGATGTAGAGCTCTTCCTTTCACCTGTGTCCTTCCATGCAGACCAGGGATTCTTTCTTCCCTATGCTTATGGATTGGATATAGTGGTAAGAATATACACTGGCATCTACTATTGTATCGCATCCATTTCCTTGCCTAGATGTATTTACAGGTTGTATTAATGATATTTTACCCTCTTGAATTGAAATAAATACATTATTATTATTATTATTATTATTATTATTATTATTATTATTATTATTTTATTATTTATTATTATTATTATTATTATTATTATTATTATTATTATTATTATTATCATTGTTATTATTATTATTATTACATTTATGGAGAAGAGTTGAACTGTTTTTTGTCCTTGTGCACCTGGGGAATGGAAGATAATCAGATTTGATTCAAGAAAGAGTAGCTCTAATGCCTTCAGTCATAAAGCCTTCACCAGATGCAGGGGCAGCACCAAGGAGAGGGCATGAGGGTTGAAGTCCCCCCCCCCCCCCCAAAAAAAAAAAAAAATTATTCCATCATCCCCTACATAAAAAAAATAATGTTTGATTATTGTTTATTATTTTGAGTATTTTTTATTATTGCTGATTATTGATTATTGTTGACAAGTTAATTAGCCCTCTATTTCAATCAGATTACCATCCCTCAGCCCTTACTATATAAAATTATGGAGCCATCCCTGACCAGAAGGGTAACCGTGCTGTAACTGGGGCATTATTCATCATGCATTTTCAAAGAAAGATAGTAAGTTGGTACACAGCAACTACCCAGGGAGGTACTACCATCCTGCTAAGTGAGTGTAAAATGGTAACCTGCAATTGTTTTACATGATGGTAGGATTGCTAGTATCTTTTTTTCTGTCTCATAAATATGCACGGTTTCAGGTATGTCTTGCTACTTCTACTTACGCTTAGGTCACACTACACACACATATACAAGCATATGTATACACACCCACTCTAGGTTTTCTTCTATTTTCTTACTAGTTCTTGTTTTTGTTTATTTCCTTTTATCCCCATGGGGAAGTGGAACAGAATTCTTCTTAAGCCATGCGTGTTGTAAGAGACTACTAAAATTCCGGGAGAAAGGGGCTAGTAACCCCTTTTCCTGTGTATATTACTAAATTTTAAAAGAAAAACTTTCATCTTTCCTTTTAGGTCACCCTACCTTGGTGGGATATGGCCGGCTTGTTAAAAAAAAAAAATGCGAGTAATTCCTAAATGAAAACTAACACCAATTAACCATCTGCCTGCCTTCTACAGAAATATCTTCAGTACTACGCTTCAATCTTCGGAAAGAAAGGTTTCAGCATGATGGTGTCCCTTTTGCGGCCCAAGAGCCGGGGCTCACTCACACTTAAGTCAGCAGACCCAAAAGAGAAACCCATCATTGATCCACAGTTCCTGAGTCACCAAGAAGACCTGCTTACACTGGCCAAGGGTCATTGTTGTTTATTGTAGTCCTGTTATTATTACTATTTATTAGTAGTAGTGGTTGTAGTTGTAGTAATAGTTAATTAGTAGTACAGTTTGATAGGGTGGATAGGGGGGCAATGTGGCAGATGTTGTAAATGTATGGAATAGGAGGTAGGTTATTGAAAGCAGTGAAGAGTCTTTACGAGGATAGTGAGGCTCAGGTTAGAGTATGTAGGGGAGAGGGAGATTATTTCCCAATAAAAGTAGGCCTTAGACAGGGATGTGTGATGTCACCATGGTTGTTCAATATATTTATAGATGGAGTTGTAAGAGAAGTGAATGCTCGGGTGTAGACAAGACGTGTTGGGTCAAAAGATAAAGAATCTTACACAAAGTGGGAGTTGTCATGGTTGCTCTTTGCTGATGACACTGTGCTTTTGGGAGATTCTGAAGAGAAGTTGCAGAGGTTGGTTGATGAATTTGGTAGGGTATGTAAAAGAAGGAAATTAAAAGTGAATATGGGAAAGAGTAAGGTGATGAGGATAAAAAAAATTAGGTAATGGAAGATTAGATATCAGATTGGAGGAAGAGAGTATGAAGGAGGTGAGTGTATTCAGATACTTGGAAGTGGACGTGTCATCAGATGGGTCTATGAAAGATGAGGTGAATCATAGAATTGACAAGGAAAAAAAAGTGACTGGTGCACTGAGGAGTCTATGGAGACAAAGAACCTTATCCATGAGAGCAAAGAGGGGAATGTATGAGAATATAGTTATACCAATGCTCTTGTATGGGTGTGAGGTATGGGTGGTGAATGTTGCAACAAGGACAAGGCTGGAGGCAGTGGAGATGTCATGTCTGAGTGTAATGTGTGGTGTGAATTTAATGCAGAGAATTCGTAGCTTGGAGATTAGGAGGTGCAGGATTACCAAAGCTATTATCCAGAGGGTTGAGGAGAGGTTATTGAGATGGTTGGGACGTGTAGAGAGGGTGGAATGAAATAGAATGACTTTGAGAGTATATAAATCTGTGATGGAGGGAAGGTGGGGTAGGGGTCAACCTAGGAAAGGTTGGAGGGAGGGGGTAAAGGAGGTTTTGTGTACAAGGGGCATTGACTTCCAGCAAGCATGCATGAGTGTGTTAGATAGGAGCAAATGGAGACAAATGGTTTTTATTACTTGATGTGCTGTTGGAGTGTAAGCAAGGTAACATTTATGAAGGGATTCAGGAAAACTGGCAGGCCAAACTTGATTCCTGGAGATGGGAAGTACAGTACTGGCACTCTGAAGGAGGGGTGTTAATGTTGCAGTTTTATAACTGTGGTGTAAGCATGCCTCTGGCAAGACAGTGATGGAGTGAATGATGATGATAGCTTTTCTTTTTTGGGCCACCCTGCCTTGGTGGGAAGCAGCCAGTGTGTTAATAAAAAAATATATAAAATAATTTTCTAATAGTATAGTAGTAGTAGTTTTCATAGTTATTACTGTCTTAATATTAAATTTGTGAGAATCGCTAAACCCACATGGGTTATACAGCACCTGGGGAATGGGAGGTACAATCAGGTTTGGTCCAAAGATGAGGAGGAAAGTTTCAGTTCCCTGGCTCAAGAATTTTTCACCAGTATTAAGGGTACTCCAATTTCCTCATTTTGAGTTTATAAGTCTTTACAGTCATATCTACCGTAGGAGGGTTATTCATAAGCACCAGAAGTCCTCCGCATTATTATATATTATATTTATAGGGAGTTCTAAATTTGAGTCATTCAATTCAAGGAATGGTAGAGGCTTGATTCTTCATCTGCTAATAGCAAATTAGAGGCTACTTTTATAGACGGCACACTTTCCTCTCTAGCCTACAAAAAACAAAGTATACTGAGTCAATAAAGTGTATGTGTACTTTCAGAGGTACACATTGCTTCGTAGATAAACATTCAGAGATATATATCTCTTGGTGAACAAACATTCTTGTAATATATTTAATGAGGAAATTAGTTACAACTACAAGAGAGAATCTTATTGATAAGGATCTTACTGGACATTTAATAAATTACATTTTTTCAGTTTCATGTGCTTGTCTTCCTGACAAGGGTTGTCAATAACCTTCTTTACAGGAGTCAAATTTGCTGTGAAACTGGGCAAAACATCAGCTTTCAAGACTCAAGGAGCTGAACTACACAAACAGGTAAGATTTCCTAGGGAAACATTCACCCAGTTTATAAGGAATTCTTTCATATTATATTATTATGGGGGAGTGTTAAACTCATAGGTATTATACAACATCTGTGTATGGGGGATGGAGAATTGGAGCACAGATACAATTCCCTAGATCAAGAGCTCCTCACCAGCATCAAGGAACCTCCTTTGAAGGGTCAGTATTTTTTTTTTTAATATAATTTTTAAAATATTTGAAACCCTTAATGTCTATGAATATTTTAATTCATAAGTTTCTCATATAGCAATATCTATCATGTGGTCAAGCTAATGACCAAGCAGTTGATTGCTGTTGAATTTTAGCAGTTTATAATATGAAAGTTCTTTTTTTTTTTTTTAACAAGTCAGCCGTCTCCCACCGAGGCAGGGTGACCCAAAAAGAAAGAAAATCCCTGAAAAGAAAATACTTTCATCATCATTCAACACTTTAACTTCACTCACACATAATCACTGTTTTTGCAGAGGTGCTCAGAATACAACAGTTTAGAAGCATATACATATAAAGATACACAATATATCCCTCCAAACTGCCAATATCCCAAACCCCTCCTTTAAAGTGCAGGCATTGTACTTCCCATTTCCAGTACATGTACTCATGTCCGGCTATATAAAAATAACCAGTTTCCCTGAATCCCTTCACTAAATATTATCCTGCTCATAGTCCAACAGCTCGTCAGGTCCCAAATACCATTCATCTCCATTCACTCCTATAGTAGTACCAACACTCTTATATGGGTGTGAAGCTTGGGTTGTAAATGCTGCAGCAAGGAAGCGGTTGGAGGCAGTGAAGATGTCCTGTCTAAGGGCAATGTGTGGTGTAGATATGCAGAAAATTTGGAGTGTGGAAATTAGGAGGTGTGGAGTTAATAAAAGTATTAATCAGAGGGCTGAAGAGGGGTGTTTGAGGTGGTTTGGTCATTTAGAGAGAATGGATCAAAGTGGAATGACATGGAGAGCGTATACCTCGACGCACCACTCGCCTTTTTTCCTGCATCAATTCTATGATTAACCTCATCCTTCATAAATCCATCCGCTGACACGTCAACTCCCAAATATCTGGAAACATTCACTTCTTCCATACCCCTCCTCCCCAATTTGATATCCAATTTTTCTTTATCTAAATCATTTGATACCCTCATCACCTTACTCTTTTCTATGTTCACTTTCAGCTTTCTACCTTTACACACATTCCCAAACTCATCCACTAACCTTTGCAGTTTTTCTTTAGAATCTCTCATAAGCACAGTATCATCAGCAAAAAGCAACTGTGTCAATTCCCATTTTGCATTTGATTCCCCATAATTTAATCCCACCCCTCTCCCGAACACCCTAGCATTTACTTCTTTTACATATACCTATTGTAGTACAAGGCCTAATACCTGAAGAAGACCTCAGTTGGAGAACAAAATTTAGACCCACTTAATTTCTGTGTTTGCATGAGAGTAATTACTTAACAAGTGTTTGTTTCACTTGTATGGTATAATATTTGATATATATATGATAGAGAAGCAGGTTGAGAGCATTAATCCCCAGAACCTTTAGGATTTTTTTCCTCAGTGGCTATCATCCATCAGTGCAGGGTAATCCAATGAAGACAGCTCGTTCATCATCATTCATTCAGTCAGTCGCTGTCTTGCCAGAAGTGTGCCAACATCACAATTAAGATTACCCTCTAACTGCAATATTCCCACCTTTCCTTCAGAGTGCAGGCATGCTCCAATTACTGTATGAACCCTGATGGGTTCATACAGGTATATGAGTGGGTATGAACCCTGATGGGTTCATACAGTGACTGGAGAACGTTAGGTCATCAGGTCTGATCCAAGAAAGGGAATAAAGGCTTCAGTTCCTTTGATCAAAAGCTCCCTGCAACAGCATCAGTGTACCTACTTTCAGAGGCTACACACAAATATTATCAACCTTGAAAATGTTTTCTTATTGTGAGATCTAAAAACATAAGAAAGGTGGATCACTCTTAATATGCCTATTGACCCATATTAGGCAGGCCCAATTCCCACCTAGCCACACCTACTCATATACCTGTCCAACCTATATTTAAAACTACCTAAAGTTCTTGATCAGAGATGCTACTTGGTAGTTTATTCTACTCATTTACAACTTTATTGCCAAACTACTACTACTTTATATCATTTCTAGATCCAAATTTGTTCACTTTGAATTCAATTCTGCAACTCTTGTCTTGGTAATAAATTTTCCCCTTTATACCTGTTTTCCATTTGTACACCTCACTCATCTTCCCTTATTTAACATTTTTCCATAGTGCGTACGTACTTTCAGCCTGTCGTTGTAGGAGAATTTTCCAGTTCATGGAATAAACTTTGTGATCCTTCTCTGTATATTTTCCAGCACTTGTGAGCACATGCAGTGGTGGTGTGTAATTTGTGTGCCTTCTTGCAGAAAGTGCCTGGGTGTCTGGACAAGGAACTGGAAGATGAATACTGGCAGTGCTTTGTACAGCACATGGCATCTTCCTATTGGCACACTGCTGGCACCTGCAAAATGGGACCAACTACTGACCCTCTTGCTGTTGTTGATGAAAGACTCAAGTAAGACAATGGCATTACTTTCTTGGAAAATAGAACTATATACACTAAAGCAATTACTATTATTATTTAGTAGTAGTAGTAGTAATATTTAATATTATTATAATTATAGTTCAAGTAATTATTACATATTTACCATTGTTATATTCATGGGGAAGCTCAAAAGGAGTAGGGGTCATACAACACCCAGGGTACTAGGAGGTACTCAGATCTGATCCAAAGAATAGGAAAGGTAGCTTCAATTCTTTGCATCAAGAGCCCTTCACCACTAAGGTACTCATCCCCCTTCCTTAATGGGGCCTAACCTGTTGTGTATTATTCTAGGGTTTATGGAGTGTCTGGGTTGCGTGTAGTGGATGCCTCCATCATGCCTCTCATCGTCTCTGGAGCCACCAACGCTGCTACCATCATGATAGCTGAGAAAGCTGCCGACCTTATCAAGGAGGACTGGGAACTTGATGTTGAAGAAGTGGTTCTCGAAGTTGAAGGAGGAGGATTGGACCTTGAAATAGGAGGACAGGACCTTGAAGTTGGAGGAGTAGAATTGGACCTTAAAGTTGGAGAAGGATTGGATCTTGAAATAGGAGGACAAGACCTTAAAGTTGGAGGAGGATTGGATCTTGAAATAGAACAGGACCGTAAAGTTGAAGGAGGAGGATTAGACCTTGAAATAGAAGGACAGGACCTTGAAGCTGGAGGAGTAGAATTGGACCTTAAAGTTGGAGAAGGATTGGATCTTGAAATAGGAGGACAGGACCTTAAAGTTGGAGGAGAATTGGATCTTGAAATAGAACAGGACCTTAAAGTTGAAGGAGGAGGATTGGACCTTAAAGTTGAAGAAGGAGGGTTGGATCTTGAAATAGGAGGACAGGACCTTAAAGTTTAGGACCTTGGAGTTGTAGGATTAGGGGCTTGAAGTTCAAGGACTGGGACTTTAAAGTTGAAGAACTGTGACCTTAATTAAGTATGAGAATAAATCACAGTACTATAGCTGAAACAATTTACAGTAGGGCCCCGCTTTACGGCGTTTCGCCTTATGGCATCCCGCTGATACGGCAATTTCAAATTATGACCAAAACTCACTAAACAGCTCCTCGTCTTTCTAATACGGTGTGCCCTACCCAGTTTGTTTACATTCTCCGTGAGCACATATCTCTATTATGTCTGGAAACTTTCCACAATTTCAAGTGTTTTAAAGTTATTGAATATTTTATTTGTACTCTGATAATTATACTTATGTGCACCTGTACCTATATATACTTACACACTGTGCTGGTGTGCAGGTACACATTGAAATCACTAAGAATCTTTCTACTCTTGCTGCCATATTATAATCTCTTGGGCGCTTTAAATGTCGTATATTACATTAATATAGACATTTAGATTAATCCATCTATGATATTTTTTTCAAAATTATATAACAAACACGCTACGTAACATATAAACATGATAAATACATGTCACAGTAGAATAAATTAACATAAATATGAGATGTGATAGCCAGGCGACTTGTAGGAGTGACGGCAAGAAGAACTTTTTTCTTAGTCCAACATCAGAGAAAATGTGTACACAATAATATTACTAGGGGTAACCAGAAAATTATTCCTTTCATATGCCTTCACTCAGAGCATCATTTCTTATAAAAATGGTGTTACATGAGAATGGGAGTGTTCCTCTTTATTTATTCTACTGTATCAACATGGAAACAACTTGTACACAATTTAAAGTGTTTGTAGTATGGTAGAAGATTTACAGACATGAGAATGAATGTGTATCAACCAAAAGCAGACACGTCTGTTTGTTTACATTATTAAGACCACAAATATTTTCAGGTAATTAATGAATGTACTGTACAGTGGAACCTCTACATGCAAGTGTGTCCATGTGCGAGTTTTTCCAAATATGAGCAGCCGTTGGGTCGATTTTTTGTTTCCATATGCGAGCAAAATTTCCACAAGCGAGCAGACCTCAAGGCAGGTTCCTTGACACTGGTGAAGGGCTCTTGCTCTTGATCTTGGGAATTGTATCTTATTTGTTTGTCGGACTATCTTATTGAAATTTGGGCAATGTATGATGGAAAGATGCTTCTTAACATACACCAAAAATTAAAGAAATCTAAGGATAAATAATGGAGTTCACTTCTCAGCAATTAGCCACCCCTTTGCGGTTATTTTGAAGGGTTTTTATGGTTGTATTCTCGTTTTTTTTGGTCTCATTTGATAGAATGGAAGATATATTACGGAAATAGATATGATTTTAATTGCTTTCACGACGAAAAGTACCTTGAAATAGAGCTCAACCTAGGAGAAATGGTCCATTGCTTGGCTGTTTCAGGGTAAACAAATGACATCACTATCCTTTCCAACATGCAGTTGTGAATGAGTTAACATTATTTATAAAATTATTGCAATAAGGACTAACAGTAAATCTTATATTTTTTGTGTGAATTAAAATTACAAATTATTTATATAATAATAATAATATGTATAATAATAATAGTATAATAATATATGGTATTTTTGTTTAATAAATGTATGAAAGAGGGGAAGGTACCTAGGGATTGGCGGAGAGCGTGTATAGTCCCTTTATATAAAGGGAAGGGGACAAAAGAGATTGTAAAAATTATAGAGGAATAAGTTTACTGAGTATACCAGGAAAAGTGTATGGTAGGGTTATAATTGAAAGAATTAGAGGTAAGACAGAATGTAGGATTGCGGATGAGCAAGGAGGTTTCAGAGTGGGTAGGGGATGTGTAGATCAAGTGTTTACATTGAAGTATATATGTGAACAGTATTTAGATAAAGGTAGGGAAGTTTTTATTGCATTTATGGATTTACAAAAGACATATGTTAGAGTGGATAAGGGAGCAATGTGGCAGATGTAGCAAGTATATGGAATAGGTGGTAAGTTACTAAATGCTGTAAAGAGTTTTTATGAGGATAGTGAGGCTCAGGTTAGGGTGTGTAGAAGAGAGGGAGACTACTTCCCAGTAAAAGTAGGTCTTAGACAGGGATGTGTAATGTCACCATGTTTTTTTTTTCAACAAGTCGGCCATCTCCCACCGAGGCAGGGTGACCCAAAAAAGAAAGAAAATCCCCAAAAAGAAAATACTTTCATCATCATTCAACACTTTCACCACACTCACACATTTATTTATTTATTTATTTAATAATTTGAACATACATACAGAGGTACAAAAAAGTACAGGTAGGAGCAGCATGCCAAAGCTACTTGTATGCATAGCATTACGGGCAGGCTTAAAATTAACTTAAGATTAACTAAGCAATGATGTAATCAGTGATAAAACATTATTGTAAACATTATCACTGTTTCTGTAGAGGTGCTCAGAATACAACAGCTTAGAAGCATATACGTATAAAGATACACAACATATCCCTCCAAACTGCCAATATCCCAAACCCCTCCCTTAAAGTGCAGGCATTGTACTTCCCATTTCCAGTACTCAAGTCCGACTATATGAAAATAACCGGTTTCCCTGAATCCCTTCACTAAATATTACCCTGCTCACACTCCAACAGATCGTCAGGTCTCAAGTACCATTCATCTCCATTCACTCCCATCTAACACGCTCACGCACGCTTGCTGGAAGTCCAAGCCCCTCACCCACAAAACCTCCTTTACCCCCTCTCTCCAACCGTTTCAAGGATGGCCCCTACCCCGCCTTCCTTCCCCTATAGATTTATATGCTTTCCATGTCATTCTACTTTGATCCATTCTCTCTAAATGACCAAACCACCTCAACAACCCCTCTTCTGCCCTCTAACTAATACTTTTATTAACTCCACACCTTTTCCTAATTTCCACACTCCGAATTTTCTGCATAATATTTACACCACACATTGCCCTTAAACAGGACATCTCCACTGCCTCCAACCGTCTCCTCGCTGCTGCATTTACCACCCAAGCTTCACATCCATATAAAAGTGTTGGTACTACTATACTTTCATACATTCCCTTCTTTGCCTCCATAGATAACGTTTTTGACTCCACATATACCTCAACGCACCACTCACCTTTTTTCCCTCATCAATTCTATAGTTAACCTCATCCTTCATAAATCCATCTGCCAACACATCAACTCCCAAGTATCTGAAAACATTCACTTCTTCCATACTCCTCCTCCCCAATTTGATATCCAATTTTTCTTTATCTAAATCATTTGATACCCTCATCACCTTACTCTTTTCTATGTTCACTTTCAACTTTCTACCTTTACACACATTCCCAAACTCATCCACTAACCTTTGCAATTTTTCTTTAGAATCTCCCATAAGCACAGTATCATCAGCTAAAAAGTAACTGTGTCAATTCCCATTTTGAATTTGATTCCCCATAATTTAATCCCACCCCTCTCCCGAACACCCTAGCATTTACCTCTTTTACAACCCCATCTATAAATATATTAAACAACCATGGTGACATTACACATCCCTGTCTAAGACCTACTTTTACTGGGAAGTAGTCTCCCTCTCTTCTACACACCCTAACCTGAGCCTCACTATCTTCATAAAAACTCTTTACAGCATTTAGTAACTTACCACCTATTCCATATACTTGCAACATCTGCCACATTGCTCCTCTATCCACTCTGTCATATGCCTTTTCTAAATCCATATGTGAAATAAAAACTTCCCTACCTTTATCTAAATACTGTTCACATATATGCTTCAATGTAAACACTTGATCTACACATCCCCTACCCACTCTGAAACCTCCTTGCTCATCCGCAATCCTACATTCTGTCTTAACTCTAATTCTTTCAATTATAACCCTACCATATACTTTTCCTGGTATACTCAGTAAACTTATTCCTCTATAATTTTTACATTCTCTTTTGTCCCCTTTCCCTTTATATAAAGGGACTATACATGCTCTCTGCCAATCCCTAGGTACCTTCCCCTCTTTCATACATTTATTAAACAAAAAGTTTCCAACCACTCCAACACTATATCCCCCCCTGCTTTTAACATTTCTGTCATGATCCCATCAGTTCCAGCTGCTTTACCCCCTTTCATTCTACGTAATGCCTCACGTACCTCCCCCACACTTATATTCTGCTCTTCTTCACTCCTAAAAGATGGTATACCTCCCTGACCAGTGCATGAAATTACCACCTCCCTTTCTTCCTTAACATTTAAAAGTTCCTCAAAATATTCTCGCCATCTACCTAATACCTCCATCTCCCCATCTACTAACTCCCCTACTCTGTTTTTAACTGACAAATCCATACTTTCCCTAGGCTTTCTTAACTTGTTTAACTCACTCCAAATTTTTTTCTTATTTTCATTAAAATTTCTTGACAGTGCCTCTCCCACTCTATCATCTGCTCTCCTTTTGCACTCTCTCACCACTCTCTTCACCTTTCTTTTACTCTCCATATACTCTGCTCTTCTTATAACACTTCTGCTTTGTAAAAACCTCTCATAAGCTACCTTTTTCTCTTTTATCACACCCTTTACTTCATCATTCCACCAATCACTCCTCTTTCCTCCTGCCCCCATCCTCCTATAACCACAAGCTTCTACCCCACATTCTAATACTGCATTTTTAAAACTATTCCAACCCTCTTCAACCCCCCACTACTCATCTTTGCACTAGCCCACCTTTCTGCCAGTAGTCGCTTACATCTCACCCAAACTTCCTCCTGTCTTAGTTTATACACTTTCACCTCCCTCTTACTTGTTGTCACCATGGTTGTTTGATATATTTATAGATGGAGTTGTAAAAGAAGTAAATCCTAGGGTGTTCAGGAGAGGGGTGGGATTAAATTATGGGGAATCAAATACAAAATGGGAAGTGACACAGTTGCTTTTTGCTGATGATACTGTGCTTATGGAAGATTCTAAAGAAAAATTGCAAAGGTTAGTGGACAAGTGTGGGAGGGTGTGTAAAGGTAGAAAGTTGAAAGTGAACATACAAAAGAGTAATGTGATGAGGGTATCAAATGATTTAGATAAAGAAAAATTGGATATCAAATTGGGGAGGAGGAGTATGGAAGAAGTGAATGTTTTCAGATACTTGCAAGTTGACATGTCGGCAGATGGATTTATGAAGGATGAGGTTAATCATAGAATTGATGAGGGAAAAAAGGTGAGTGGTGCGTTGAGGTATATGTGGAGACAAAAAAACGTTATCTATGGAGGCAACCCAAGCTTCACACCCTTATAAGTGTGTTGGTACTACTATACTAACACACTTATATGGGTGTGAAGCTTGGGTTGTGAATGCAGCAGCGAGGAGGCAGTTGGAGGCAGTGGAGATGTCCTGTCTAAGGACAATGTGTGGTGTAAATATTATGCAGAAAATTCGGAGTGTGGAAATTAGGACAGAAGGTGTGGAGTTAATAAAAGTATTAGTCAGAGGGCTGAAGAGGGGTTGTTGAGGTGGTTTGGTCATTTGGAGAGAATGGATCAAAGTAGAATGAAATGGAGAGCATTTAAATCTGTAGGGGAAGGAAGGTGGGGTAGGGTCGTCCTCGGAAAGGTTTGGAAGGAAGTGGGTAAGCGAGGTTTTTGTGTGGCGAGATGTTGGGACTTTTCCAGCGCGTGCATGAGCGTGTTTCGATAGAGTGAATGGAGTCAAATGTCTTTGACCTGACGATCTGTTGGAGTGTGAAGCAGGGTAATATTTAGTGCGAGGATTCAGGGAAACCGTTTATTATATAAGCCAGACTTGATACTTGGAAATGGGAAGAACAATGCCAGCACTCTAAAAGGAGGGGTTTCGATATAATGGCGGTTTGGGAGGGGTAAAATTGTGTATCTTTTTACGTATATACATACTTCTAAACTGTTGTATTCCTGGCACCTCTGCAAAAACAGTGATGAATTGTGAGTGAGGTGAAAGAGTTGAATATGATGATAGTAGTCGCTTTTTGGGTGATTTTCTTTCCTTTTTTTTTGGGTCACATCTGCTCGTGGGAGACGGCTGACTGTTAAAAAAAATAATACTTAAAAATAATACATATATAATAATAATGTACTACAATAAAATAATTATAATAATAACGGCTTCAAAAAGGCCATCACTAGAATGTCCAGTGTTTACCACAACAAAGAGGGAGCAATGTGGGCCGCCTCCACCTGTTAAATGACATATTTTATTCATTCTAGAGTATATATCATCGTTTCTGTGTTATTTTATATTGTTTGTTATGTCATATTAGATGAACTGTGATATAGATATAAGCCATATAGATGATATTAGTAAATTAATCATGAAGTATTTTGCCGTCTCCCAGAACAAAATCTCGTCCACTCGCCCGACACAACTAACATGAATGCCCCATATTTATTCATTCCTAGAGTATATATCATGTTTCTGTATTAATTTGATGTTGCTTATGTCATATTAGATGAACTGTGTAGATACATAAGCCGTATAGATGATATTAGCGAAATTATTCATGAAGTATTTTGCTCGGTCTCAAGACAAACTCTCGTCCACCGCCGACACTGCCCATACCACTACATGAATGCCATATTTTATTCATTTTAGAGTATATATCAGGTTTCTGTGTTATTTATATTGTTTATTATGTCATATTAGATGAAGTGAGATAGATAAATAAGCCAAAGAGTTGATACAGTATTAGCGAAATTATTGAAGTACAGAATTCCACTGGAACAGATTAATTGCATTTCAGTTAATTTAAATGAGGAAAATTGACTCTGCAAATGAGCAAATCCAGTTGCGAGTAAGATCATGGAACGGATTAAACTCACAAGTAGAGGTTCCACTGTATATGTATTTTATTGCTCGGGACGCTTTAAATGTCGTAGTATATTACGTGTGGGTGGGGTGGGGTGGGTTGACCTGGCTGGCTACCATACTTCCCAAACCTGACTTCATACAAATAAATATAACTTGCCTCTCACCCTACATTAAGACTACAAATATTTTAAGGTAAGTAATGGGTGTACTGTGTATATTTTATTTTTTAT